ACTTTACTTTCTTCCCCCGAGATTTTGGGACTGTCAGCAGCTGCCGTTCGCCCACGGTGCTGTCTCTCTGCAACGATGTGATCATCATGACGGGCAGCGTCTTAGCGGGCAGCTACGGGAGAGAGCTCAGAGCTGGGTGAGGTGTGGAGGAGGTGCAGCGCGCGTGGAGCATAATGCAGAATGGCACCAGCTGTAGGGGGACTACAAATCCCCGCAATACATTTATACAGCAATGCAGAACAGTATATGAATTTGACTCAGGGCTAAGTAACGCGCTGGACGCAGGGCTTCCTGACTCGCTGGACGCATGGCTTCCTGACCCGCTGGACGCAGTGCTTCCAAAGCCGCTGGACGCAGGGCTTCCTAACCAGCTGGACGCAGGGATTCCTAACCCACTGGACGCAGGGATTCCTGACCCGCTGGACGCAGGGATTCCTGACCCGCTGGACGCAGGGATTCCTGACCCGATGGACGCAGGGCTTAGTGTCACGCTGGACGCAGGGCTTAGTGACGCGCTGGACGGAGGTCCCACCTGAGAGTGCTCCCGCAGAGCCCACCATAGATGCTGCACAGCCCATCTGATACTCTCTGTGGTGGGCTCTGCAGGGGTCACAGGTGGGCTGGACAGGGCTGCATCTCTCTCCCTTGCTCCCAGCTCCTCTTACCTGCTCACCTGGCCTCCTCTGCCGCTGGACTGGCCGGAAGTGACGTGATGTCACTTCTGTGCCGGTCCAAGATCAGATGAGAAGCTGCGCCGATTTTCTTACTATTTGCACACACAGTGCAAATGCTCCGATGCCAGTATTGGCAATGCTGGGGCCCGGCGCGGCTAGGGCCAGGCCTCCTCCGGCGCTATGGGGGCCAGGCCGCCTCCTCGCCTGTCACCGGCGGCCGATACTCATGTAAGGGTCTCGGGCGGCAATTTTAAGGCTTGACATGTTTGGTATCTATTTACCTGGCGTGACCCCATCTTTCATATTTTACCAAAAAATTATGTTTCTGTGCACTACATTTTTATTTAGTTTATTTTTTCCAAAAAATACTGGCTTGATAAACATTTGCACAAAAAACATGCGACATAAAAAATGTCATTTTTTTATTTAAAAGGGCCTCTGCTTTCAGAACATATATCATTGTTTGGGGGTCTGAAGCTGTTTTCTAGCCAAAAATTTATATTTTATCATGTGTGTGCAAATAGTAAGAAAATGCCCCGGACAGCAAGTGGTTAAAATGTGCACCTCACATTTTTGCGGTTTGACGGGCGCATGCAATTTTAAGCCTTGACATGTTTGGTACTAATTACCCGACATGACCATTTTTTTTATTCTACAGGGCCTCTGCTTTCAGAAAATATATGATTGTTTATGGGTTTTAGGCTCTTTTCTACCCAAAAATTCATATTTTATCATGTGTGTGCAAATAGTAAGAAATTGCTCTGGACAGGAAGTGGTTAAATGGAAACAATATACAAGTCCATAGTGGTCACCAAAAGGAACAGGCCCCAAAAATGATTGTAGAAAGTATTTACAGTCCAGCTTTAGAAAACACTAGAATGGATCACATACATCTACATTCTCTCTTACTATGGCACAATATACAGTATATTGATCATTTCTGGTACCTGTAACTTCAAGCAGTGTGTTCCATGTCTAACTGTGCATGAGGGAAGGAGCCACTGCACCTGCGACCACGGCAGACCCCCCCACAACCAGGGTCCACGGCAGACCCCCCCACTGACCAACAGGCTAAGGTAAGGTGACACATTTAAAAAAATTTTTTTTTTAATACTACTCACCTGATTCCTGGATCCAACAAGCCCATCCTCCCATCTCCCACGCTGTTAGAAGTTGCATACAGCGTGTGCTGGTTACTACTTAAACTGACGCGCGCAGTGTGCAGCTTCTGAGAACATACGCTATTAGCATAGTGGGAGTAATGCAAAATGCGCAGCCGCCTTCCCCACTATGCTAATAGCGTATCTTCTCAGAAGCTGCACACAGCGCGCGTCGGTTTAAGTAGTAACCAGCACAGGCTGCATGCAGTAATGTTCTGCCCCGGGCGCCCATAACTCTGGTTACGCCACTGATCTGGGGTGCTGGTCCCAACCCGTTTGTCTTCCAGTACTGAACTAAGTGAACTCCTCCATTGAGGCAGTAATGAGCTGAGCTCGTTCCTGGTAGATGGGCAGACTCTGCTTCTGATCAGCACCAGCTGTCTCCTGGTCTGCATGTCCCCTGTCTGGATGTGGCTGGATGGAGGTGCAGCAGTTCATGTGTCCCCAGCCAGGAAAGGTGAACACAGCCGGGGAAACCATACTGAGCAGCAGCTTCCTCCACACACGTGCAGGAACAGAAGGATCCTGTGGTTGCCCCTGTCTGCCTGCATCTTGTGTCTGGTTTTCTGCTGATTTGATAAAACCAGGCCCAAGATTCTAAACCCGTACTGTCTGGGTGAATCCTGGACAGGTGGCAACCCTACTTGGGAAATACCTAACAAATTGTCAGATCTACCGTACATTGCACATTAATATGATCGTTGAGCTGTACATATAATAATAATAATAAGAAGAACTTAAAATGAATTGTTTTTAACCCTTTTGCTGCCAAGGACGTACGGCATACGGAGCTACAAAAGTGCTTCTGGCTGGCCAGCTCAGTATGCCGTACGGACCTGGCATATACAGTTCTACTATAAGCTCATGGTCGGTTCAGCGACCATGAACTTATAGTAGTCTCCATGGATCCCCGCTGCTTGTAGGATCTGTGGCAGCGGGGATCCGTTAAAAAATCACAGGCGGGGGAGACGGGGGACCATATCTCCTTAATTCCAGCGTGAACATATTTAAATGTAGTAACCGTGTCTCATAGCTCTGGTCCTCCATCCCTTTGATGAGTTTGGTCGCCCTTCGCTGGACTTTCTCCAGTTCAAGGATACCCCTCTGTGTACCGGTGCCCAAAACTGCACCGCATACTCCAGGTGAGGCCGTACCAGTGATGTGTAAAGTGGCAAAATTATAGACTTACAGAAGACGTGTTCAGAAGACGTGTATCCAAACCTATGTCATTGTCCTTAGTGGTGAGACAAGTTGTTTTACATGCTGGTTTGTGAGTGTGCCATGATGCCTTTCTAGTGTACCACTGTTCAAAGCCCATTTCGTGTGCACCTTACTGTATAACTGGTAACAAATTGTTGAGTGCGTTTGTCGTTTGTTTTGCTTTAAAATTATAGACTTATCCCTGCAAAACATTCCCTTCTTGATGCAGGACAAGATTCTACTAGCTTTGCTTACCGCAACTTTAAAAAATTAAATTAACTGTGGCAGCGCATGGCAAAGCTTTGTGACGCATTGCCATGCGTTGTGATCTTTGTGTTGCAATAAATATACGCCTGTATCATTTTATTACAACACAAACACCAACACAGCGTGAAAACAATTTCTTAACATAAGTCGCTTATTTACAGTTTTGCGTACCGTAATTTTTTTACCTTTTCGCAAAAAGGCGCAATTTCGAATTTGCAAATATTTGTTATTTATTAACTCAATACAGTTTTATCTTTTAGATTTAGTCAGAATTTTTTTTTTTGCGCGCTGATACTGATTTTAGTGTGTTTTATCAATTGAATTGTGTATTTTTATCGGTTTAATATTAATTTGAGAAAATTTGCGCAATTATCGAAGGGCCTACAAAATGAGTATCACCATCTATTAATTCTACCGGGCCTGCTCTTTCAGAAAATATATGGTTTGGGGGGGTCTTTTACAAACGCTAGCAACCCAGCAGTTGAAAATCAAATCAATAGGAAAAAATTAAATTGCAAAAAATGCAAAAATGGCTTGGCCAGCTGATTTGAAAAATGTTCCGGAGGGCTTGGCAGCGAAAGGGTTAAATGTAACATGTACTTGTGTATCCCTACACAAATACTCGGTGCCATTTGCATCAGGGATGAGTTCTATTGTGGCTCTCAGTCGCCACCTATTGACAAATAAATAAATTACATCCTATAATCCATATGTTGCAGGAACACGCAGTATTTTTTTAAATATTTATCTAATATGTATTCATTATTTGTTTTTATACATTTTTTGTTGTATGATCTTCTACTTAGAGTGTGATTTGATTTTTTAAAAACATAATATTGGTGGACCAGGTTGGACTCTTATGGATACCGGTTCTTGTGCGGCTGATTGAACAAGGAATTATCAAAGGAGTGGGAGCACACCATAGCCTGCACCTGGCTGGCAGGCATATCAACCGACAGTCAGTGGTGGAACTGGAGCGGTGAGTTTCTGGTGCTTATTTGGACATCCCAACTCTATTCATACTCTAAGCAGCTGTAAGAAATGATATTGGTAGTAACTTTATAATTTTATATCTAAAGTTTTATATATTGAGAATTTTACCTTGTGTTTGCCAGCGGAACTGATCATCCATTGAGCTGAGAAAAGAAAAACAACAAAACATTAAAAAGTGTAAAATTATCTTTTAATACAAAAATACATTTTGTAAAATAATAAACTGCGCGTGTACATTTAAGGATGCCTTCAGCATTAAATGTACTGTTATGAGTGACATATATATGGGGCTGGGCCTCAGTCATTTTTTAGCTACTCACAGCTTCTCCATCTCCATGATCTCCAGATCATGTATAGTACACATTTTTTTTTCTTTCAAGAAATTTTAATTGGGATTTTACATTTTAAAAATATACATATAAAAAACATAAACAAGGATACCATTAAAGCAGACCTTTACACTCAAAAATCAAATGTATGATGATTAATTATAATATAGACATGTCAGGTGTAAAATGCTGTGATTTCAAAATACTTACACTTGCAGAGCATTTACTTCCTGCTTTGAAAGGGCAAAATGACTTCAATTTGCCAAAGCAATGCACACTGGGATTGCCTTGTCATCATCAAAACCATGCTTGGAAATCTCATCTGTAATCTTACGAGATCTCAGGGAAAGGCAGTTTCCTCCCCTGAGATGATGTGCATGGTCAAATGTCCTAGTCACATGTGCCAGAAATCCAGGAAGTAAAAGGAGTGAGCTTGTCAAAAAACATAGTGTAAGACATGTTTTCAAAGAAATGCCTAGGAGAAAGTGTGCCATGAAGCACACAATCACCCATTTGGTAGTGAAAATATGTTGCTTCAGTTTTAATTAGGTCGGAAAATAGTTACGCAGCTTTTTGTATGGGGCTGCAAAATAGGGGTCCCTCCGGAGAAGAGACTCAATCGCAATTTTGCAAAAGATCACAGACCAAAGACGAGAGACAACAGGACAGTCCCACCAAACCCCTAAAACAATTGGAAGAGCAAAACAGGAAAGCCCTAGAAATCCTGTATTGGTCCACTACAACCAGGGTCCAGGGAGCCCCCACTGACCACCAAGGTAAGGTGACACATTTTTTAAAATATATATATTTTTTTTTAAATACTCACCTGATCCACCGCCAAGTGAAGCCTCCCGTCTCCCACGCTGTCAGAAGCTTGCGCGCGCTGGGTGCAGCTTCTGAGAAGATAAGCTATTAGCGTAGCGGGCACTAAAGCGGCGATGAGCTTATAGGAGAATGGTAAATGCCACTGACGTACGGCATACTGACGTAGCAAGCTGGGAACATTTTTGTTGCGCCGTATGCTTTACGTCGATGGCGGAGAAAGAGTTAAAGTTTGTATGACATTTTAGAGGGTTATTCACTAAAGAGCCAAAGGATATAGCCAAACCTTCAGCTAATCCATCGACTCGCTTCGGCTGCGGGAGCCTTCGGTTCAGCTGAACCGAAGGGCTGCTGTCTGGGCTATTCACAATAGCCCGTACAGCAGTCAAAGCGCTCAGCCAAGCTGAAGCATATGCGTTGAGCTCGGCTGAGCCAAAGACACAGACGAAGTGGGGAGAACACTAAATGTAAACAAATAGTGGGGGGAAAAATGGCATGGGGTCTTCCTCCCGATTCCTTCCACACAAAGGGTCTGGAGGGAATGCTAGGAGCGACCCCCCGAGTTAAAAAAAAAGTGTGTGGGGTTCCCCGCAAAAGCCATGCCAGGCCCTTTAGGTCTGGTATAAATTTTAAGGGGGAAGCCCACCGCCAAGAAAAGGAAAAAAAAATTTAAGGTCTCCCCTAAAATTCCCAACCAGAACCTTAATCCTCTGCCATACCAGGCCACATGCCCAATGGGGACAAGGGCCTCTTCCCCACAACCCTGACCCAGTGGTTGTGGGGGTCAGCGGGCAGAGGGGCTTATTTGTATTGGGGTACCCCAATATGCTGCCTCCCTTGTGAATGAGTAAGGGGTGCTTGTACCCCGACTCATTTACTAAAGTGTTAAATAAAAATGTAAATAAAGACTTGTTGAAAAAACACTTTAACCACTTGATGACCGGGCTGTTTACAACCCCTTCCTGTCCAGGCCATTTTTCAGTATTAAGTGCTGCAGTACTTTGGCATTTATTCAGTCATGCAACACTGTAGTGAAATTAATTTTATACCATTTTTTGGGGAGATATACTTTTCTTTTGGTGGTATTTAATCACCATTTTTTTTTAATTTTTTACTATATAATGACAAAAAATTATAGTTTTTTCCCAATTTTATGTTGTGAAGCATTTAATATTATCCACATTTTGGTAAAATACAAAAGATGGGGTTACATAGACATCAAACATGTCAAGCTTACAAATTGTGTGTGCCCGCAATATCCCAAGAAACTACAATACCCAAAATTGGCCATAGGCGACGCTATAAAAGCTTTTACTGCTCATCAATTTAGTGTTATCAGTGATTGAGCTCCCTACAATTACTGTTTATGCTCCGACGTTTGTGGTGATGTGTAACATGTGCAATCGTCATTTTGGCACGAAGGTGCACCTGATGCATGTTTGTGTGTGTATGTGGGGGACTTTAAAACATTTTTTTTTCTTATTATTGTTTTTATATGTGACTTACATTTTTTTTGTAACGTTAATTTTTTTAAAACTTTTGTTCCACATATTTCTATTGTTATCACATAGGGGGATAAGAAGCCTCCTATGTGATAGCAAATTACAGTGACATGTCCCCTTTATGGAGAAATACAAAATACAGAGAGCGCCTCCATCGTGTAAAACTTTTTAATAAAACAGGATAAAAACAACTAGAATTGTACTCACAAAAGGAGATTTTTTAGCAGGCATGAAAAATCTTGTGTAACAGATAGGGTTGCCACCTTTTCTTCAAGCGAAGCCCGAACACTCAAACGACGAGCAGACATTTTTTTGGGAGAATGAGTGGTGGCTTATTCATATGTAAATAGCTCCACCCATTCATATCTAAATATCACAGTTAAGACTATTTTCAGTGGGTGGCCAGTAGCCCTTATCTTAACTTTGGTTGCCCTTGTCTGCCTGACATCCTGTGTCCGGGTTTCTACTGCCATGAAACCTGGACACAGCATTCGAAACCCGAACTGTCCGGGTGAATCCTGGACAGGTGGCAACCCTAGTAACAGACTTGGCCAGCCAGCTATCAGTCCTTCCTGGTTGACGTGTTTCTGAGGCCACGCCTCCTTCATCAAGTCTGTTAAACAAGATTTTTCATGCCTGCTAAAAATATATTTTTGTGAGTACAATTCTAGCTATTTTTATCCTGTTTTATTAAAAAGTTTTACACGATGGAGGCGTTCTCTGTTTTTTGTATTTCAGCTTTGTGGTTTCCTTAAACCAGCGTGAGCAGCCTCGAAAGTGTATTACACCGAAGATCCTCCTCTCTCTTTTCATTCCTGATCTATGCTGCTGGCGCTTGTGTTTTTTTCTGTTTCCCCTTTATGGAGACATCAGGGGTCTCAAAGACACCTAATATCACCTAGGGACCCCCAAAGAAACTGATGACCTGAGGACAGTGGCCTGTCATTGCATGGCAACAAATGGGTGGAGTATGCTCCGTCCATTTGTTGTCATTCGGCCGGCACCTGTCAAAATTTCCTTTTGCTTTGGGACTTCGTCGCATGCAGTCGGGTTGGCGAGTCGGCGTTGTCGTGTTACTCATTCACAAGTGGGCGCGGCATCTAGGTGCCCCTTTATGAAAGGGGGTACCCCGATACAAATAAGTCCCGCCCCCGGCCATTAGCCTGGTGTGTTGCGATATATCTTAGTGGACTTTTTCAGACACACATAGATTTGCAATAGAGACGGAGGCTTTGTTTGTTTGTTGATAGAAATCTGGGTTCATACAATGGAAGGTGCCACCTAAACAAACCAAACTGTTTTTTCACAATGGTGTAGCTTGTCCTGTCACAATGGGATGGTGATCGTAAACAGTCACACCTAGCCTGGTCAAGAGTCAAATCTTGACTACTGATGGCAATTTATGGTACAACGCTGCCACCTAGAGGTGGGTACGTGAAATGCATTATATTGCATTTTAGATAAAGGTGAAAGGGGGGCGGCGCTTCCAAAGTGTGTGGCCAGTTTCTCTCAATAAAAAGCCAGTAGCTGAAAGGAGCACAGCACTTCACAAGACCAGGGCTTCACAGGAGGGGGACAGTACGAGGGCGATTAACAAGACGAGAGGACTTGCTTCAAGACCAGGACATACAAAGGATTTAGCAGAGAAGCCATTTTTCCTAGGCCAAGTCCTGCTCATCACGGAATTTGTGGAGCCTGCAGCCTGAGCTAAGTACATTTTCAGTGTTTCCCCTCCTAGAAATCATACATGTACTAGAAGAAAGTGTAGTGAATGTTTGTAGCAGCCTGTATGTCTTGTTTATGTATTTGTTTGCTTTTCCTGTAACCAAGTTTGTACACACAGCATTTTCGCCAAGTAAAGTACTTTTAATGCTACTGGGTCAGTTTCCTTGAAGTTTACTGCAAGAACAGACAACAAATAGAAATTAAAGTTTAGCCAAGCTTTACAGCTGGGCTCATCCTTGAGATAAGCTTTACGTCTCTGGGATTTGTAGTCCAGAGCATTACACCTGGGTACAAGGTGCTTTTCCAGGGGGTACCGCTGGAAAAGCACCCTTCCAATCCTGAGGACATGTGGCCTGGTAAGGCAGTGGGAGGGGGGGTGCTCACTCGCCCCCCCCCCCTCCCCCCTTTCCTGCCTTGCTAGGCCAGTGGTTGGGAATGGTTGGGAATTTTGGGACTCAAGGTTTTTTCCATTTTATGGAGGTGGGGTTCCCCCTTGAAATGCCTAACAGACTTAAAGGGCCTGTTATATGCACTTTTTAAAAACAAATTACCTGGGGGGGGGGGGGGGGGGGGAGTCTGTCACA